ATTCAGCAATACATTGAATAGCCCCATTCTCCAGCTTTATTATTTGTCCTCTAAAAATACTTTCTCTTTCTTAGAAAGTGGAAGTCCTGAGGACATCAATAAAAGAAAAATACAGAGATGTGCAGTTGACAAGCAGGATGTCTCCCTTAGCATGCAAGTGGTGGTTTGTGACATCCCTCAAAGAGGTGAGAAGGGTGGTAAATAGAATAAGGGCCTTTTTGGTGGCTGCCCCCCACCTGAGAAACAGGCTCCCAGATACGTAAGTTCTCCTGGTGCCAGCTTTGCTCATTTCAGCATCAGGAAAAAACTTATTTCTTTTCCACTCATTTTAATAATTTTAATAACTGATTGTAATAATGTCTTTTTAGATGTCTACATTTTAGTGTATTTTAAGGACTATTTAGTTGTCTCCTCAGCTGGTCTATGTTAGTATTGCTATTAATTGCTTATTTTAATGATATTAACTGTTGGCTGTGATTTTATTGCCACACACCGCCTAGTTTGTGGCGTGTGACAAACATTTGAGCTGTATGACAGCTTGTAAACACAAAAACAAACAAATATTTAAAATAAGAGAAAGTTAAAGTTGTGAACAAGTGTGAAAGTCATGCAGATGTTTTGAGCTGCATTACTTATGGTAAGACAGTGAAAGTACATTATTCTGGTATGTGCATTACATGGGCCTGAAGATACTACAAACTTGAAGAAAAAATGCAGTATAAGAGTTCTCCATCTACTTCTATGTGAACTTCATTTTTTTCTAGTAAAGAAATGTATTTCATTCTTTTTGCTTGTTTTGTTTTCCACTATTAAAAACATATACTTTTCCTTGGACAAAGTGTGGGGAGAGCTTCATATAAAAACAGGGTTAATGTGAATTTTGGACCAGTAATAATATTTTTCCATAGAACAGTAATGGTTTTACAAAGAAAAAATTCATTAGTCTAATCAGGTCTTTCTGTATTTATTTTTAGGGTTTGCTGTTAAAATATTTGATCTGTGGTAAACTGTGCAAAAATTGAGCCAGTCCAGTCCAATGTATCACTCATCATGGGATGACAGTGCCATTTCATGGCTGGCTGTGCTTCCAAAATGTCTTTTTGTGATGGGCACCACTTACCCCCACCACCACTGTGTAACTTATGGGCGGTGGACTTGGGAACCCTGACAAAAAACCAAAAGGAAATCCCATAAGCCAAAATCTGTCTACCCCTGTTCTCTACACATGCACCTGTCTCTCCCATTCATTCCCTATAACTACTAGATAATAGCCAATATTCCTGTCCATATCATTCAAATATAAATTGGATTAGTATAATATTTTTCATACTATGCCATACTGAACAAGAACTACAGTGAAGAATTCACTTAGAAAATAGCAAATCTACAGCATAATAGAACATGTAAATGTATCATAGCTTGGGGTGGGGTGAAAATATATTTGTTCCAGAATTGAGAGAGAATTCAACAGGTCATTTTTCTAGTAGCCATTTAATAATGTCTTAAAAAAAAAAAAAAGATGCTTGGTAGAGAATCCTTACTTTGCTTGACAGGAGATTTAGACAGCAGGTGATAATATAAACCATTTTATAGCAAAATTATTCTAACTCCCACATTACAACTTTTAAAGTGCTATATCATAACACAGCATCATCCAATGTGGCTTCCCATAACCCACCAAACTTGTAGGATTCCAAGTGCCCAGAGGAAGGCATTCCCCTTTGACCTGCAAAAAATTTAGATAGCTGATGTAAACAATTTTAGTGTTACTCTCCTCTTCACAAAAAGAAGAGGCTGAAGCTCTTTGTCTGCTGGACTATAATGGCCATACCTACCATAAGAAACATTTTTGAAAGTATCCACAACTCTCTCAAAAGTATGCATGTGCATTTGTATGACTGTGGCAAGACATTTCTGACTATAGCAAACAGGACACCATAAATATACTGAAAGCCAAGAAGATTTGCAAAAATAAGTAGAATAGATATTGAAATGAACTATTTCTGTTGTATTTTGATAAGACTTTTAATTAAATTTTAGTTTAATTCAAATCAAATAAGCCATCAAGTTACGTCAAATGGCTATGGGGTGATTTTTAAAATTTTATTAAGCCTCCTACATCAAAGAAAAGATTCAAAACTAGAGTTCCTCCTAAGAGAGATGCACAATATTTTGTTTCATTTTGCATTTCACAAAAAATAATCCTCAGATTAAAACAAATGATGGTACATAAGGTAACTTATGCTTCAGTTATTCTCTCTCAAAACATGTATATGTAGAATGCAGTAGATGCACATAGGAGCTATCCATATATTGCACCAGCTGTTTTAAAAGATATGCTCTGGTTGCCTGTTAGCCACTGAATCATGGTCAGGGTTTTGCTGCTGACATTCAAAGCCCTAGACAACTCAGACCAAGGTATCTTTTCAACTGTATGCCTCCATACATACCAAACTGACCCTTCCAAGGAGGGTTTATTGGTCATCCCTTGAGCGACAGTGTCATCAAATCAAGTAGATAAATCAGCCTTCTCAGTTGTGGCACCCACCCTGTGAAAAGCTCTCCCATGGTCTGAGAAGGCGAAACTGAATTGAGCTTTAGATACTTCTTGAAGATGCACCTGATTACAGTCTCAGACTTTCCCTGATTTAATCACACTGCTCTAATTTACTGGTTTTGTAATGTACTTATTATTGCTTTTCCATATTTGTATATTGTATATTACAGATCTTTATGTAAACTGCTTAGAAATCTTAGCATACCAAGTACTATACTTTAAATAAAACAAGTATGCTTAAATGTTAAGCCGAAAAGAAGGAAAGAAGGAAGAAAGAGGAATAAAAGAATGCTGAAAATATTGGGTATGTTGACCCCCTACTTGGCGATGAACTGATACAGCCTCTTGATAATGCCATCAATATGGATGAGGATATCCAGGGCTATATGATACACTATTTTTAATGTACAGATGCACCAAAAAATCACACATATGCATCCAAGAATGCAGGTACCATCAGATCTATATTATTGATATTCATAGCAAAGTACCTAGACTGGTCATGGCTGTACAATATATGAATATACATTACCAAACCATTTTGTCAGCATATAATTTGTGACTCTACTATTATCCACAGATCATGTGGATTTGTGCATCCCAGAAGATGATACCTTGTGCTCTGTTCGCACGGTGACTTACTGAAAAGAAGAGAATCTAATTTTGCCCCAAATCTTTTACAATCGTTCCAGCTTCTGGTTCACCCCTTACAATGAATCAGAAATTAAATGGCACTGTTTTTATCCATGGATAAGGGATCATGTAAAAGACCCATGTCTAAAGTGACTTCATTAAAAACCTGTTATTGTAGGAAAACTTGTTCACAAGCAAAATATATTTACAGTGCAATGTGATGTGTATTTACTCAGAAGTTCATCCTACTGTTTCCAGTGTGGCTTACTCTTCAGTAAGTGTGCTTAGGATTGCAGTTTTAATCACTTACTACTTGACTTTACTGAAGCTAAGCATGCATTTAAATGAAATAAGGATTCAAAAGACCCACATGAGCATTTTATCTCAGATAAACCAATACGTTTTGCTGTCAAAATATTTTCAACCTATGAAAGAATTCCTCTCTCTAACTCCAATGCATATCTCAGTTCATGTCATCCTATCTACTATGCTAGTTATCAAATAATTGTTTTAAGGAAGTATCAATTAACGTTGTTTCCTTGTAAATAGGCCCAAGTAACCTACTGCTGTATATAAGAAAGTCTACTTCTAAATTTTAATTGCTTCTCACATACATATTAATATACTTAACAGTAAATTTAGAAACACAGTATAGAGGTTTACACAGTGTAACCTAGTTAAGCTTTCCATAAACACAAATTTAAGAAATCACAGAATAAACAAGCTTGACAGAGGAAACATAAAAGCATGCGGACTGGCACTCCTTGTCACATTTATCACTTGCTAGCACATTACACAACTCTTTATTTGCCATTACACAACTCTTTATTTACAGTTATCTTCCCATTCATTTTTTAAACAAGTGAAAACAAAACACATGTATATAGTCGCATTCCTAGGGATTGGTTGTTGGAGTGGCGAGAAGGGAGACCTTGTGGGTGGGTCAGAGTAGCCAAGGTTGTGCAAGGTCAGAAACAATCACCTGCATCCCTCCAAAAGGGAAATAACGTATTTATGATGAACAGGAAAATTTACACAAAACAAAACTTCCTTCAAGGGAAAGGGGATCTAACAACAGAGAAGAGGAGAACAGGAAAGCAGTGAAGAGGGACGTTGTGAAATATTTGTTTAGTCCCATCACAGAGAATTCTTCACCTCTTAGATAAGGTGCTAACATCCATGCAAACACTAAGAAGCAACATACTGAACAAATCATGCAATAAGGTGCAAGTACCAATGTTTCATGGACTAAATCCACTGGCAAGCTAATAGGCTCATACATATACACTTTGATTCCTGATCAGGTCAAGAGGAAAATGTGTGTATACTGTTGCTGTTTAAATCTGAAGCATAAACAACTAATTCCCCATTTCAACGGTTTGAATTGACAAAATAATATTCTTAAAAGTTATTAACCTTGTCTCAACATGTTTTTCCTTTTAAAAAATCAGTGAAATTCAGAATATTTTCTTGTGTTCACCTGGTTCAAACTATGCAAGGAAGGTATTATCAAATTATACTTCTTGAGAAATAAAAGAGACACGAATAACTAGTCTTCTCCTTGATATATAGCTCAAGGTATACTACGTACAGCACAGGTGTAGTAATAGTTTCTATTTTAAAATGCAACTGAAGTGAAAACTAGATTATTCAACCTCAAGGTTCTCAACATACCGGAAAACTTTACAGGATTAACACACTAAACTGTAACTCATATCTACAAATCTACCTAAGAAGCTGATAACTGATAACTTACAAAAAGGATACCATTATGGAAAGGTAAAGAAATGAAATCTTTAATGCCACTTACTCAAATGCAAAGAAGAGTCCACTGGTAACCAAGATAAGGACAAGTGTTAGGTAGAAGACTCCAGTCTGGCGGGCCATCATGATCCTTCCATTGCAAAAGAATTTGTTTCTTCCAGGGAAAACCTCCCATTTTCTTTTGGAAGTTGTTTTCTTTTTCTTATGCGGAGACTCCATGGGAGAAGAGGAGCTGTGAGTGCTGATCTGACTGTATTCACAGTCTTTCATGGGTCCTCCACCACCACCTCCAGGAGTCATCAAGGGAGAATAAGGAGGGGAACACCTCCCCAAAACAATTCTTGATAAGGTATTTTTCAGAAGCCAGTGTTGGTTATTTAATTAAACTAAGTTTATTGGGGCATTATAAAATACCCAGTTAACCATGGAAACCCCAAAGCTGACATTCCAAAAGTGTTAAATAGACTTCTTTTCTCCACAATATGGAATACAGAATAAAAATAATCCAAAATAGTTCTTTAGAAGTGCATAATCATACAGCAAAATAGGAACTAGAAAAGTTAAAATATAAATCAACTGTAAATTAATCACAATTTTTTAAAGGATTTTGAAGCATTGTGCCTTTCTTTAATGAGGTGCTCAGTTTTCATTTCACATCCCCATCTTTAAGGATGTTTTGTTCAAGATTTGAGGCAAGCAGTTCTGTAACTGAATAGATTTCTGCCACAAACATTTATTAAGAAACTTTAATATAGTTCATTTTATACCTCAAAAATTCCAATTAATTCTTCCAAACATGAAACTCTAGATCCTAGGCCAACAGTTGTGAAACAATCCATACTATTCAATTTACTATAGCTTCTGTATTCAGAGTATTCTTGTTGCTTTTATATTAGTTTGTGCATCACTTCCTATATTTTCTTGCTATAGGAGAGGTTTTCCAATCATGAAGTAAATGTGGTCAGTATTTATCCCTGGAAAAAGAGGATATTTGGCATATTCTAAGCCAATCTTCAAAATAACCTATTGATGCTTTATTTCAGAAAAGTAAATTGATTTCAGGGCAAGACAGATGTAAGGAAACTATTTCCAAAACCATATATTATAGATTCCCACTGCTCCTCATACTCTTCTTCCTTCTGGTACTCTTACAGATTAGGCTTTCAGACGTTTGACCAAGTCAACAATGGAGTTTCTCTATGCAACTCATAATAGTTGAACGGCAGGAATTATTCAGATCCTGGAGATATCCAGGTTCCATCTCCCACCCGGTCCAGAGGTATCAGTTGGCATCCCACAGAATCCTTCGCCCCTCCTTCAAACAAGTGAACCCCAAACAGTCCTACAACACTTAATTCGAATGTTGCCTTCCAGCTGAACAGGAAAAGAGAAGTCGATGAAAGGAGTAGCAGCACACGACTTTTCCCTTCCACTTTACCCAGACTTATCTCCAGCAGCCAGGCAAAGCAAAAGCAGCCACCGTTTCGTTCGCATCGCCAAAGGCAGTGTATGGAGAAGAAATGATCTGAACCAACGACGATCGCAGCAGAAACAGCGCACACCACCAGCTTCTCCCTCTCTGCTTCCAATATCAACGCGCCCCCGTTCAAAAGCAGATGAGGGCGATGGAGGTTGCTGGTGAGGAGAAGAAGGAAGACGGTTATAAAATAGACGCGCTCTGCTGTTTCTTCTTCTGCCACCTCGTCTTTTGCGGAAGAGACAGAGACACTTAGGATTACACCTCTTCAGTTATGAAGGGGGATGAGACCTCAAACCGTTCAGTGGCTGAGATCAGAATCAGTGAGACCGGCGGCAAACGGAGCACCAGCCGCCGCCGCCGCCGCCGCCACCACCACCACCTCGGGATTTGCCTTTTGGTTTCATTGCCAGGCGCTTGGAAGGCAGCGGCGACCGCAGTAACTGTGCCGTGAGTGTCCGCCTCGCACGGCTCTTCTTGGTTAGGGAAAGAAGGGCGGCCGCCCAGCCTTCCTGAGCGTCTCTCAAGCCCTTCCCCGGGCTCAGCGGCCAGCCTTTGTTCGTTTCATTTCATCTTTCCGCCCCTTCCCCCTATCTCTCTCTCTTTCTCTCTCGCTGTCTTGCCTCGTCCTTCTCTCCACCAGACCACACAACAGTGGAGGTCGTGTCGGTCTCCCGGCGTGCAGGCTCTCCTGCCCGCTTTGCTCGGCAGCCGGCGGCAATGTCTCCTCACAACCCCAAGCGGTAGCAGCGAGAACCACCGCCTTTGCTGCCGCTGTGCCTGCTCCTCTTCCTCCTTCTAACCACCGCTCCCCCTTTTCTCCAGGCTCTCTACCACTGCGCGCAAGGGAAGAGATTCCTCCACCCTCCAATACCAGCCCACCTCAGCAAAGGCTCCAACTCCCCTTTCCTCCCTTGGCCGCGCCTCCCTAACCATTTACTCTCCCTCTCGAAGCCTTCTGGGAAATGTAGTCCGTAGCTTTTTCCGCGCATACTAACAATGGATACATATATATATATAAAAAAGAACTCCTTCGATAAGGGGAAGTGAGGTTAGCGCAGGAGGAAAAGGAACAAGACTCCAAGTCCCAGAAGTACAAAGTAGTTTGCCCCCTTTCCTCGCCCGCTACTGTTGACTGCTAATATACATTCACAGGGCGATGAAGTCTGAGGTAGAGAAGAACACGGGGAAATTGAATAGTTGGAAGGAGAAAAAGAAGTCGGAGTACATTTGTAATTCATCCGTAATGGAGTTACAGTGATACAGTATTATATTACAATTAATAATGACGATTATACGCTTCTCTCATAAACTTGCATCTTACAGCTTGCAACTAAAATACCCGATTTTCATTTATATACTAGCTTCACTTGGACTGAATCGATGGCTTAGGTGAGGCAATTTGTATTTACGCTTCTTTTCTTTCTCCCCATTCTTATTTTCTTCTTTCCACTCAGTGCCATCAAATATCACCCCTGTCAAACACAGACACTATACACTCCTATACACTCTTTGCCAATTGTCATGCAATTTCCTTTGCGGCTGTTTAGGGGCTTCTCTGCATGAGGGTTTTATTCCTGTCCTCTCCTGTTGCGTTGTCGTCTGACTCGTACGCAGAGCTGTCACTGCACGCTCTCCTACGTACCGCTTTAAACTCTTTCACGAGTGGGTGGAGCCTTCCAAATGCATTGCCATGGAAGCACAACATAACTCTACACTGGAAGGAATATACCAGTTCACAGGTTGCGATGCCCCACCCCCGTGCCCCCTCCCACTTGAGGGGGGGCAAGGTTTAGCTGAACATATTGCGGTTGCAGTGCGCTTCATTTTAGGAAGCATAGCCAAGTCCCTCTTTATTCCTCTATACACGCATATTGTACAAGGTATCCTGTGCCAGTTCCCCCGAACCTGATCTTTCACGGAAGTGAAGCCGCCCACGAGATATCCTGGAAAAACTTTACAGCTTCCCTCACCATTTTCGTTTGTGTGTGTGTAGGGGGGAGTATTATGTAAGATTGGTTTGGCAGTATTTCAGCATAATGCCATTTCTCAGCAGCAAGTTCCTATCCGGAAGCACTTTTATTGGGTGGTGGTAGAGGTTAATTCGGATTGTATCATTTGCTGCTGCTAACATTCCCTCCACCCAAACGCAAGCAAGTACAGCCATCTCTGCAACCTTTACTCCCATGAGTTAGCTCATGTAATTAAATTCAGTGTAATTTACTTGTTAGTAAGGCCATCAAAAATAATCTCAGATACTTCAGAGTAGACACGCAGTTCAGCTTCCCTAATTCCCTTTAGATTGCAAGACTTATTCACACCAGGTATTATTTATTATATTTTTACAATGCATTTGGTTGATAGGCCAACTTCCAATAAAAATTCTGAATTAAAATGTGTTGTAGCATAAACAAATAAAATTAACAATGAATTTATTTATTAAATTTATTAATTTGTTTATGAAATTGTCTACATTCCACAAGAAAAATAAGAATTCTTAGCCATCAATTCCAAACAGAAGGATGTAGACTTAAATATAACACAATCAAATAATAGTTTTGAGGCAGTTAACAGTTAAAATTAAAAGGCCAAGCAGTGCTACAAAAAGCAGCTTGGTAGGTCATATACTCAGCCCAAGGTAAAAATGCATTATGCTGTATAAATGCTAAACAAAAGGTCTTACCACACTGGTGATGTGATTATCACAAACAGGAATCTCCACATGGCAGTGCTATTAAAACCTTTGCATATCAATATTAGTTCTACTCAGCAAAGCCAGTCTATAAGAATGCTGGGAATTGTGGTCCAAACCATCAGGGGGGCATCAGGTTGAGGAAGGCTAGCCTGTAAAGTCTCTACCTCAGCCTTCCTCAATCTTGTACCTTCCAGACATGTTTGGACTGCAACACCCAGAATTCCCAGTCAATGGCCCTGCTGGATGGGAATTCTGGGAGTTGTGGTCCAAATGCCTCTGAAGGCCACCAGGTTGGAGGGAGGCTGTTCTACTTGACTGTTGCATCTTCTGGAGGATTTCTGACATTACCCTGGAGGCTGCCCATGAGAATAGCACTGATCTGCTTGGTAAACAGCCTCCATGTGTTAGTGCAAGTACATGGAGGCTTTGTTGTCATAGTGCATATGTGACCCAAATATTAATAATGGCTTGTGGAACAGTTTCATCAATTTTCTGTAGCCAGTTAGCCTTTCATGAGGCTTCCCTGCTCAGATTCCTACTTCTTCCACCTAGGAAGCTGCTTTTTAAACTTCTAATACATGTGTTTGGAATACAGGGTTAGCAGTCTACACTTGTAGCTCAGAATCTCAGAATAGTTGACTCAGAAGGAGCCTTGAAGGCCATCAAGTCCAACTGCCTGCTAGTGCAGGATGTCAGTTACACCATGCCAATCAACAAATTGTGCAATTGCTTCTTCAAAGACTCTAGTGTGGAAGAAAACACAACTTCTTTTGCCAGCTTGTTCCACTGCCATAGTGCTTTCACAGGCTGCTTATTTATCTTGATTCCAATAGCATATGATAAAGAATTTCAGATAAAGTTGGTGCTGCATGTCTCCATCTGAATGCCATATAGCCTCAAGCTACCTGGTATAGTAAGTACATAAGATAAGTTCTGTCCTTTTTTTTGATCCAAAGTAAGTATGGGGGCAATCAACAGCATGCTAGGATGGAAATTTCAATCCCCTTCCTTTCTCAGGCATGACAACCCCATAGTAATGAGTGAAATTATAAAAGAGAATAATGAAAGTATCCCTGTGCATTGTCAGCATTCAGACCTGTTTGGAATGAATACTCAGATTCAATAGAAGTGTATAATCAAGCACGCTATAGTTTATTTACAGCAACAGGAATCTCTAAATTACAACAGCTCTGAAGGATACAAGGCAGTGGATAAAAGGAAACAGAACATGTGCAGAGTGTTTTATGAAGTTGGTGTCATGTATGCTTTTGCAGGGAAGGGGAGGTAGACTTTGAATAGGCAATATGCAAGACAATATAGGGGCGCATGAAGCACACAAAGAAACACTGAGAAGTCATCAGGGAAACATTGGAAAAACATCATGATGCATGAAGATCTTGAGTGACAGTTAAAAAAATCAGAATTCACAGAATTTAACATGCTTCAAAGCTTGCTTTTTACAGTCTGAGATAGGAAATCGAAGAAAGACAATGATGAGCTGGCCCAGTATTTGGTTATTCAAACTAGCTGCACTGTATCATCCCTCTATATTTGAGAGCTATTTGCCAGCAGGTGAATCATTGCATATTCTGGGGATCGTCTCCTTTTCCCATAGAAAGAACCTGAATGGAAAAAAAACCCTCCAGATTGGGAAGGGGTGAAAGGCAACAGGCAAAGCTTGCTGTATTTTAAAGTATAAAACTTACAACTTTTATTAGGGCAATTCCAACAATATCTATGGTTATTATTTTGTATGTTATGTTTTTAAGGTGCTTTTTCAAAGCTCAAAAGCAGAAAACAAAGATAAAGCATAAAATTTTAAATCAAAGAGCAAAAGTAATTTGAAAAAAGATATGCCTTCTCTAAGTTTAACAGCACTTATTCCCAAGTAACTGTGTATATGATTGTGTCCTTAGATGTATACCTCTTACAAGCCTAGTGATAGACCGCTCCATCATGTAACTGAAAAGTCCAACACAATAATGCAATAGTACAAATGAACAATACCCTTTTCCCTTAGTCATCACTACACCTGTTATTTTAGTGATGCTTTCTCTATTCTTGCAATTTGATGGGAGCGCAAAGTTTGCTCTTATTATGATTTATTATTCATTAAGTACTACTGATGCACATTAGCACTACATTAGCAGAGTGGCTAAGACTGAGCTATGAATGAGGAAATGCCTGATATGAACCTTACCTCTGCTGTGAACCGACTAGGTAGTCTTATGCAAACCCCTTTCTCTCGACTCAGGCCTTCTCATCTGTAATAATACAGGGGTAATAATACTGAATTCTCTTTCAGGACTGTTATAAGGATACAAGTAGATAATGCAGGTCAACATTTGTTATACAATGTTAAGTATTATTTTGTGCATACTTAATAGATCCCTGCCTTGAGGAGTTTGCATTCTCAATTTGAGAATGAACGAGAAAGGGGAGAAGGGAAAGGGCAATTGGAAGCATGTGATAACATAATGTGACTCCTTTTTCAGGTAGTTATTTAAGTATCAATCACAAGTGTTTGAGAATGGCCTCAGCATTGAGGGTTATATCCAATGGTGACTGCTTTACTGATGCAAGAGAGCCAACAAAACAGGGAAAGAGATGATCCTCCACCTATCTGTAGCCTACTCTTCAACCCCCAGATCTGTTCCAGCAGACCTCACAGCCTGCTGGAGCAGACCGGAGGAGAGAGGAATTACTGGAACTTTATTAAAGGATATCTTCCATTAGCATTGGATACAGTCCTGAATAACAAGAAGCTACAATTTGGGAAGCAGTGATGGAATACATGTGGCATTGCCTATGCAAAAGAATATTTTATACTGTGCCAGATGATAATAACCTTAAGATGAAGTAGAATAAAGTACGGGCAAATAATATGAATTTGCGTAGCTTTCCACGGTACCCGTGCAAACAAGAAAAAAATATTATTGGGTAAGCATGGAAATGTTAGAAGCACTGGTATAGGATGCATTGCAATTAAGTAGATTTAACCTCATCAAGGTCTGTCAAATGTTTCTTAATATTTACATAGATTAGAGGGATATAACAACAAAAAAAGAAAAAATGTGCACTATTGATAATTTGCTGGGTGGCTACTGTATGACAAGATGTACTGTTGGCCTGATCCAACATGGGTTTACTTGTGTTCTCACAGGAGCCATAGAATAATCTTACAGCTGAATATTCCAACTGTAAAATTATGGCACCCTTCCCATAGTTAAACCTGAGTGACGTCACCATAATAAAAGATGGAAATTCACTGCATAATTTACTTTGTGATTTTTGAAATGCTGTGGCTTTTCTCAAATATGGGCTCATACTCACTCGGTTAGTCACAGATTCTTTTAATATGCTAATAAGGTAGTATATTTTCATTATATTGATTTTATTGCAGCCCTGCTTCAAGAGCAAAGGGAAGGAAAGTATGTGAGAGGAAATGTAAGGCAGCAGTTCCAATTTACATCTTAATATTATTTAGAAAGTCATATACTATGGAGCATTAGCTTCACATGAACTAAATGCTATGAACTGAAATATATTTCTTTTTAGCACAAGAAATGTTTAACATACTTGATCTAAAATATGTCAGATTTTTTAAAAATAGAAAGAGGATATAAGAGATAAAAAGATATTGGGTGAAAGCTTCAGTGATTTGAATTTTGGGGTTCATTTTAAATTGGCAGGGGTGAAGTAGGGGAATTTACAAATAATTAAGTAAATTTGAAATTGTTTTGCCATTACTCAACATCAGCCCTAGTGGTGGTAAAATTAACTACAGTACTTGTTTTCTTAGCTTATTTATAGATGGTTTCATTACTATAGTAACAGACATATGAGGGCTACAAGCATAAGCACAATTACTTGTGAGTTAA